CAACAAGGTTCTTTTCATCTGCTGCCCAGATTGATCTGCTTATGTACTTCTAGATCTACCAGGGACAAAAATATAGCAATATGGGGTTTTTTGCAATGTGGGGATAGGGAAAAGAAACATAACAGGGAAAATAAATATGTGGTACTGTGCTGGAATGGTTTGTTCACTACTTAACATCTGTTTTTTTGCTGGGTTGTTCCCTGCCACCCATGAATAAGATGTTATGCTCATTACTGCCAAATCTCCCTTCAGTCTCTCCATGCTCTGATCCTCCTGTATTGCTTTTTTCTGTCATGCTTAGTTGTAGATACTTGACTCTGAAATACAGATGTCAACCAACCCATTTCTGTCTCAGCTGAATGAACAGCTATATTCACAGATATTATTTCTCCTCTCTATGACTCATTTACTTCATCTGTAAAGAGCAGCTTCATCCTCAGATGAAAGACTGACAATAATCTACTGACTTAATAAAAGAGCAAATTCTCCACTGCCAGTGTGAACTTGCATAGGGTATTTGGACAAACACAGAATTTCAGAAGGCCTTCACTTAATGGATGCTGAATTTCTCTGAACAACCCCTTGCCTTTGGGTTCATGGGCAGGAAACATGAAAATGGCAATATTTCTTCAATCGTGCAGCATGATCCATCTTATTGTTTTATTTTTCTGTGGAGTGCTGTCCCACATTCCTTGGAATCACTGCTACTGCAGCAAGGTAGTTTACTTTCAAAATGTGGAACAACAGGAACGAGGCTGTGTTAATGATTAAATTATACTGATGGTTGGAGTAAATTTAAGTAACAGCTAATGCACTAATTTCAGTATAGGAAACACACTAAAAAAGCAGTAGGAGCTCCTCTTGATCTTCATAATTACTGAGAACTGCCATGATCCTTCAACATATTTCTACCCACACTTCCTTTTATGTTAAGAAATAGACAGGAACTCACAGAAATTAGCTGTAGAAAGCCATTCCCAAAGCTCTTTCCAGCACACTGCACAAGCCATGTATGTTCCCCTAAAGGGTCCTGGAGCTAGACCTTGCCCATGTGAAATCCTGGCCAAAAGTCTCATTTCTTCCAGTGAAACAGAACAAAGTGAGGCCTTCAGACAGAAGTGCACCCAGCACACACCTCTGAGCTGTGTGTACCCAAATAAGCTCCATCAGCTGTGCTGAGTGTTCCTGGAAGGGAGATGAGTGGGATTCTCATCACTTCAAACATCTCATTTGGCTAGTTCTCAAATATCTCTTTAATTCATGGATGGAGGAGAGCATCATTAGGAGAGCAATTTATCCATTTTAGGTGCCTGCAGTACAATAAGGGGAATTCTACCCCCGAGTCTGTTCCTCTGCACTCATTACATAGAAAGCCTAGAGAGTTGGCTTGGATATAAATGTCTGAAGATGAGAGGTTTCTCTCACCTATCTAGACACAACAGAATCTGCTGGATATTAGAGGCCTTGTGGTGGCTCTGGGTCAGATAACAAATGCCTGAAAACATGTTGCCACTTGGCTGAGTCATTGCAACCATGCAAGATCCTAATTTTCATTTAAGGACTGTTTATAAGAAGTTTCTGAACTTTAGTCTTGGCCTAGAATGAGTAAGGCCTAAAGCAGCCACTGATCCTCAAGATAAGAAGGTCTTTCAGCAGCTCTGTAATCAAAGGAAAAAAACAGCTTTTTTTTCAGATCACTGCTTTAATCTTGTTCCTCCCACCAGTGCTGGAATTTTGTGTTCTGCCCCCAGATGCAGAAGGCTCTTTATAGTGTCAGCCTGACTGAACAGTAGGAGCTTAGGCTGTCATTGCAGCTGCACCTTTGAGGTGCTGGAAATCACAGAACTGAAAGTTGACAGCAATGAAGTTGTGCAATATTTTCAAATGTAGTTTCTGCCACCACTCAATTCCCACAGTATAGAGGTAGGGATTTATAGGCCTGTGGTAGGGAAAAGAATGAAGGGATTCAACTCAAGCCCTTGTTGGCACCTGGGGTCTTGATGCCACCCCTTCATGTGGCCTTTATGTGAACTGGCATCTTTAAAAGTTGCTCTCTTTGGGGAACAAGTGAAGGATTGGGGCATTATTGTGGATAACTTACTGCTATGTGACAAGCTGAGTGTCTCATCAGCTCTTTCCAGAGAGGTGCTTTATCTCTGATGCTGGTGAATAAAATGGAAAGGTACTTCAACACTTTGGCTGTCTTTATTTAAAAAATATAGATAACAGCAAAACACAAAATGTTTGCTCTTTTTGTTTCCCTAGATGCAGGCATGAGTATTCCCTTGGTTTTTATGCTACATTGTCTGTGTGATGCTTCTGTTTGTCAGAGTAATTTAAAAGAAAACAGCAGTAAAGTTTTTTAGAGATCCCAACAGCTAATGCAAATACTTGTCAAATCCCAGTAATGGATCACTCAAGTGGAGACAGTTTTGCCTATCTGTGAGAAGCCACCTTTCAAAACAAGATATATATCATATCAGAGAAAACAAGAGAGTAGTAGAGAGTATTATCAGGCAAATGTGATAGCCCAGAGATGTCAGAGATTACATACCAGTTCTCTACATATAATGGTTTAATTAAAGTCATTATTCTGCTCACCTGTGTAAAATTAACAATTACGTGTCTCCTGTGCTCTCCCATGTCTGGGATATCAGTTAGGGGCTCTTTGCCTGCACATAAGCTCCTGTGAATAAAGAAATGGTTATTGGGAAATAGTAGTGCCTGTGGGATGATGGCATTTCAACATTTATAGTCATCCTGAAGCTTTGTGACAAGCAGGAACAACAAAAGCTGAGGGACAGCTTTGTGGGAGAGCACTTGATAGAAGACACAAATTCAAATCTACAGGCACTTCAGCCACATCACTGCCAGAGCTCTGTCCCTGGATGATCCTTCCTGCTCTCCCTGGAAATTCCCCAGAGAAAGTTTAGCAGAGAGGCAGATTTGTCAAAATTATTCAAGGAAATGACTGCAAAAGCTGTGAACTTTTTTCTAGCTTCATCACATTGAAGCCAGTGGACTTGATTCTCCTCCCAGAGCCACATACTTTTTGCAGGCAAAATATAACCCCAGACCTGCTGACCTTCTTTGTCATGCAGAACAGGGCTGTCATTTAAACATTTATGTGGAAGTTATTTGTACTGATAACAAATTAGTGCATGTAAAATTGAGCATAAAATTGTCCGATTGATCAAAAATGAGGTTTAACTTATAAGCAATTCCTGATTTGAAACCCTACCCTGAAGCACCTGAAAATATTAAAGAGGATTCTTTTTTCAGAACTTCTTTAAATTTATACTCCTCCTTACCAAATGCATGTCTGCATGTAATGCTTCTTGTTAGTCTCACAAAGGGAGGTCACCATCATTGCTCTGCCACCTTTTGGGTAAGGAAAGAGACTTGGTCATAAGGATGGGGACTGACTGAGCTGGCATAGCAGGGGTGGAGCTGGATGGAGAAGTGAGAAGGTCTGTTGGAGCCCAAGCCTGATTCAATAGGCACCTTCTCATCTCACTCTTCTCCTGGTGCCATACTGTCTCCCTAGGCAACTACAGATTGGAGGGGAGACAAAAATTCTTGTATACAGACTGCAAAGCAATGACTTGAGCCTGGATGTAGGAAAATGTCAGGGAAATACAGTAAGTAGCAGTTGAAGCAGAGGCGTTGAAGTCAGGTGCTTCAGGTTCTATTTTTGGCTTGGACCAACCATTTCACTTCTGACTTTGGCTTCCTCCCTGCAAGATGAGAAATGAGGATGCCTACAGCTGCCTCCTGGGACTGGGTCATCTTGCTAAAGCCAGGACTGTCAAATCTTATATTCTGGGTGATGCTCAGTTGACCTCAGCTCTATTCTTCTCTGCTTTGCTGCCTGCACCTCCTTCATTTCTATCTCTGCTTTTTTGGGCTCCCACAGGCAAATCAGAGCAGCATCACAGCCACAGATCTGGGAATTGCTGCTGGGTGGGAGCCTCCCTTCTTTCTGCATACCCTGGGGCCTCCCACCACAGCATCTGATGTGCAAAATATCCTGGGCTGCCCCTTGGGTGATGTGGGTGTCTGCAGAGGTAATAAAGTACACGGAGCAGAGTTATGGCCTTTGTGCCAAGCACTTTCACTCCTGTCTAAATTAGGGATGCAGTTTGAGGGCACAGGCACCAGACAGGTGCCGGAACATGTACAGAGAAAGGCAGCAGAGCTGCAAAGGGTCTGACACATAAGTGTAATGAGGAGTGGCTGAGGGAGCTGGGGATGCTCCTTTTCATGGAGAAAAGGAGGCTCAGGGGGACCTTCTCACTCCCCACAACTCCCTGACAGGAAAGTGCAGCCAGGTGGAGTCAGACTCTGCTCCCAGGGAACAAGGGACAGGACAAGAGACATAGCCTCTAGTAGCACTAGGGGAGATTGGATTGGATATTGTGTAAAATTTCCTGATCAAAAGGCTTGTCCAGCCCTGGCACAGCTGCCTAGGGCAGTGGTGGAGCCACCATCCCTGGAGGGATTTAACAGATGTGCAGAATTAGCACCTGGGGACACGGAGCAGTGGTGGCCTTGTCAGTGCTGGGGAGTGGTTGGACTCCATGAGCTTTACGGGGTTTTCCATCCTAAATGATTGTATGGCCCTGCTCCGTTGTATCTCCGTGCAATGTCAGCCCAGGCACGGCTCTGGGAGGGAGCAGCAGGAAGAAGTGAAGGCCAAGTGATGGTCACCACCTTAGCCCGGCCATCCTAGCTTTAAATCAACGAGTTTCCAAGCTGCAGGTGTGTTCTCTTTGCTGCTTTTCCGGTTAAATCCCGGCTAATTAGAGGTGTCTCCCCTTTTTTTTTTTTTTTTTTTTAATGGGAAGCACCTCTTGCCCTTCCCTTCTTTTATCAATCAAAATCGCTACCACCTAAATTCAGGTGCGCCTGGAGAGCTCCTCCTTCCCAAAGCCCCATCCCAGTGCCGCGGGGAGGGAGGCGGCGGCTCCAGCGAGCAAAATGCGATTTTACGATTATTTCAGATTTTAGAGCAGGAGCGCTCGGAGCTGCGGGCAGCCAGGAGGAGCCTCGGCGCTGCCTTTCCACCCTCCCACCCCATTCCGGGAGGCGCCAGGGCCCGGCAACCAGGAGGATTTCGGCGCGGGGCGGCCCCGGACCGGCCCCTTTGTTCGTGTGGGCCCGGCAGCAGCAGCGGCGGTGCCGGCCCCGCATCCTCCTCCGCCCCCGCTGCCCGAGCCGCCGCCCAGCTCCCTCCTCCTCCTCCTCCTCCTCCCGGCTCTCGGCTCCGGGCTCGGCCGCGCAGGGAGTGGCAGGGCGGCTGCCGGCCGGGCTCGCATCCTGCGGAGGCTCCGAGCCCCCTGCCCCGCAGCAGGGCGGCACAGGGTAAGGGGGACAGCGGGAGGGACGGCACAACAAAGGGATGGAGGGATGGATGGAGAGGGTGCGGGAGGAGCCCGGGCAGCGGGGATGCGCCGCTCGGTACCGATGGGCGGCATTGTCCTTGGGCTGGGGAAGGCACCGAGCATCCCCGGCAGCCCGGCTGGCTCCCTCGGTGCTGCGGGAGGGGTGCGGGCCTGCCGGGGGCGCGCACCCTCAGAGCCCCGGGCCTGCCGGGGGCGCGCTCCCCGCTCCTGGGGCACGGGAACGGCGCCTTGGAGCGGCCTGGTGCCATGGAGACCGAGGTGGGAGGGGGTGTCAGCATCCGTGGCCGAGCGAGTTTTGGGTTTGGAACGGGAGGAAATTTGTCTTTTGTCTCTGGGAGGCTTGGCTGCTTGCTGGGCTCAGTGTCCTCGCTCGTGTTTTCTTGTTTAACGATCCAGATATGACATTAAGCACATCCTGCAGGATCTGATGTGGGTTTTTTGTCTGGTGCGAGATGTGCCTCTGAGGAAGGCCCGGGTTGAGCTGCTGACATTGGCAGGAGCAGCCAGGCAGGTGAAGGAGGGATCTGCCCCTTTCACAAACAGCAAAGGGTGTTTGGGGCAGCATCCAGGGATGCAGCAGAGGCAGGAGTTGTTATCTCCACACTACCCACAGAGGCTGCAGCGGCGTTTTGGAAGCGCTGGGAGACAAAGCACTGTGTCAGCACCGAGTGTTATTTGCTGCTCTGCTGAGCATCAGTCTCACAGGCCTGCAAACCTTGTCTCAGAAACTCATCCTGCTGGTATGGGTGTCAGCTTTTACCGGTCCATCCATTCCTGCTGGCTAGAAGTGTTTCCTTGAGGGTGACTTGCTACTCAGGAACTGGTCTGCATGTGGACAGAGATATATCTGGGGTGCCTGGCTAGGCTTGTTGGCCTCAGCCTCTGCCCAGCTGCCTGGTAAGAGCATTCCTGTTCCCATCAGTTCTCCTGGAGAGCCCTGTTAATCAGCACAGGTCTGTCATTGCTGGTGTGGGGATGCTTTTGAACATCGTGCAGCTCCTGATTTTACAGCTGGGTCTGAGATACAGCATTTTAAGAAATGACCTGCCTGCTGTTAGAGCCTGCCAGGGATTAGGAAGGAGGGAGTCTGCATCAAACAGCTGTGTTCTCAGGAAAGTTGTCACTGCCTACCAGAAATCTCTGGGAGTGCAGGACTTCAAAGGCTCAGCTCTGAGACATGGCACAAGTGACAACATTAGCACCAGCCCCTGCAGCACAGCAGGGAGAAGCTGTGCTGGAGCCTGTCTGTCATCTGAGGAGCAGAGATGTGGGGCTGCCTTCACTTACGGGAAACCTCAAAAAACCTGTGTTTTTTGCAGGAGATGCGCTTAGAATCAGTATGGATGGGATTATCTGCTGAGGCCAAGGTTGGTATGGGCTCCTCTAGCCTTGCAGGCTGCCATAATCTACAAGCAAGGAGCAGTTCTTGGTGTGTTTTCTCTTTAGCCCCACCTGTGCTTTTTGGTTTGGCAGAAGAAGTGATGGAGAACCCAGAGGGGGGGTTCTGGTACCAAGGGATGCAGCTCTGTAAGGACATCCAGGTTGATTCTTTGTTGTGTTATTGGGTGGTTAAAATGGGTCAAGGTGTGTGTTCCACCTCCTGATTGAGGCTGTTTGGTTTATTGATCAAAATGCTGCCTCTGTCCATGAAACTTGGGGAAATGATTTTTTTCTTTTTTGGGAGGGTCTTTTATGATTCTGGTGAGGACAGGAGACAATATAAAAAGTGAGTTCCATACCCCAGGTACCTGGTGTTGGTACCACTTTGCAGAGAGTACAATGCATGGCAAGATTAGATACTTTTAAAGCTCTGGGAAAGGCCAGGTTTGGGTAGCTAGACCTGGATGCGACTTGTTGCCAGCCTGTGTTAGACACTGTGTGCACTTATCTATAGAGATATCTATAGTTATTTATGGAGAGATCTATTTTTCATGGATGCCTTTTATAAATACCTTGTGGCTCTTTTCCTCCCCATCTCCCAAGGGCTCAAGAATGACCAAGGAAGTTGCTGACATGGGTTGAGAGCACTATTTTTTCTCTCTTGCTGACTTAATGCCCCCAGTAATCAGTCTCTGGCTGTTATTCTTTTATCACTGTTCCAGTGATGTTTATGGTAGAATTTCAGGTGTTGTTGGCCAGGGAGAGCACCTTGGTGATAGTCCTGGTGGTGTCAGACTCCAGCATGACTTGGCCTTTGTTTTACTGGTCAATTTTTTAAAACAACCACATGAAGTTGCTGAATAAAGATGAACTGGCCATGCTCGCTCCAGAATCCCAGGTTAGAGTAAGGAATTGGGCTGGGTCTTTTTTGTGCCCTGTTTTCTCCATGTGGGTCCTCCCTGTCTCACCCCACGTGGCTGACACTGATGGGGACACACAGAATTCTCAGTGTGCCACTGCACAAAGTCTCTTTCTGCAGCACCCCCGTGCTCTTGGAGCCTTTCCCTGCTGTGCTGAGAGCAGCCTGTGTGCTCTGAGCAGCACAAAGCAAATGCACTTCCCTCATTGCTGCATTTCATTTCTTGCTGTTATGTGATTGTGCAGTAGCTGTTGTTGTGGAAAAATGACTTCTGTGCATGTGGCTGATACTTTCTGCTATTCCTGAAAAAAAGATCCTGCAGAAACCCCTTTTAAGCAAAACCTACAGCAAGCTACAATGGTTCTGCATCAGGCTTTCTGGAAATCATTCCCATACACTGGTACAGTTTTTATTATCCCATTCTAAATAAGTGAAACTGTGTCTATAAAACAGCCATGGCTGGCTCAGATGCAGCATAAGCAAAGAAAGATGTGTGAAGAAATAAAGCCAACTTTCTCATATTTTTGTTGCCTTTTTTTTTTACTTCAGAATGATGGAATTAAATGTGATGCTGACTTGAACAGGCACTGAAATTAAGTGATATTTTCATTTCAGTTATTTATTGTATTGAGCTAATGTTTAATCACCTGCATAGTTGCAGAGGAATGTGGCACAGACTGGCAAAATTCCATGTTGCAGTTTCTGAGCCTGTCATGGAGTCTCCATCTCCTCATCCCAGTCTGCTGAAGGACAAAGGGAATCTAAGCTTTGGTTTATTTTGAGAGTTTATGTTTTGAGTTCTGCTGTTGATTCCCTTGATAATTCCATTTGTGCCTGTGAAAGCCAAATGATTATTTTTGAAAATATTTATACTTTGTGTCTACAAAATAAACACTTCAGAAGGCCTTCCCAAGTGCTTTGATGGGTTAGATATTCAGGGAGATAGTGGTGCCATCTCTGCCACTGTTTTTTCAGAAGTCTTGAGAAAAATAATTTCTTTCCATCTGTTTCTGCCAGGTCCAAAAAGGGCTGTTGTAATTCTGACCTCCTTTGAGGTTTGTGAATGAAATGCTCTGGGGATGTTTGGTATGTGGATCTTGGAACTTTTAAATCCCCTTCTGCTCCTTATAAATCCTTTTCCTGTGCTTTCACACATGCTTCCTTTAAAAAGGTAATGCAAATTAAATTGTATTGCCTGTGTCAGAGCTCTTGGTCGAAATTAATTCTATTTTATTTTACTGAATAGCTTGCATAGTGTAGTAAAGACCACGTGGATATTGGTTACACTGGGAAGATTTCACAGAAACTTCAAGAAATCATCTGATCCATCTGTCTGTTCCAGATTGGATCTGTCTTCACTTGTCATTCAAGGCAGAGGTTTGAAGATTTTTATTTTTCAAAGAATAACATAGCAATGCAGGAATTTGCACAGCCTCTCTGGGCAGCCTGGCTCAGTGTGAAGTGTTTTCTGTCGTGTTTTCCCCTTTGTTTTGTTGTTGTCATTGTCACTTTCCCTATCTGCCTGTTTCTGTACAAAAGACAAAGTGTTTCACTGACAAAAAGCAACACAATTTCTGTTGCAGCACCAACTTCTTTTGCAGCACATCCTCTGCTGGGGCAGGGGAGGTTTCCAGCCTGAGGCACCACTCCTGACACAGTCACTGACAAAGGATTTCTCTGGCTGATCTGCTCTTTTTCTTCCTTTGGCATATTCCCCCCTTATTTCCCTGTTGCATCATGCTCTGACACTTCTGTGTCCTGTAATTGGTACTGGGAGCTCTTCAGCAGCCTGGCAGGCACAAAAAGCAGCTGCCTGTTGGAACCAACAGCATTTCCCATCCTTTGTGGACACTCACACTGATGACCTGCAAGTGCCTCCCCTGGATGCAGGGGCTGTCCTGGCTGCAGAACAAACCTCCCTACAAAAAGAGGCCTCTCCAGTTGTGTTTAATGAGCTTTGTAGCCTCATATTTGTTGTTTATATTGTGCCCTGTGCTGCCTCTGTGGCTCCCATCAGCATGAAGCTGGCCCTGCTGAATCAAGCCTCCTCCTGGGCTAGATTTAACATTTAGCTATTTGTTTTATAACTGAAATCCTTACTATGCAAATTGGAGCAGGTCAGTCTGCAAACTTTCATAAGTGCCTTCTTATTTTTTCTTTATTTTTTTTTCCCCTCTGGACTTTTGTTTCCCAGCTGGTAAGTTTGGCATCTTGATCCATCCCTAATGGAGATTTAATGATGGACAGCATGGCACAAAAATGCAGGTTTGTGTGGAAATGCTGCTGAGACAGAGGATGCCTGGTGGTGGAAGGATGTTTTCCCTTTCATTGTTCATCTTTTACCTGTCTGTTTATGTGAGCTTTTACTGGGGCCCCTGTAGTAGCTTTCTGAACTTGCTGAGTCTCATCCATAGGAAAACTCTGTTTATATGTGTACATATATTTATGTATATTTCTAGTAAATACTGGCGATATCAATGCCTCCTGCAAGCTTAATCTTGATATCTCTGAAGCATCAGCAAGCACAATTCCTTTTTTAATTCTGAATCTCCCCAAAGCACAGTGGCTATGTGCTGGGCAGGTGTAGGAGCACTCCCAGCACACTGACATGGAAATGTCAAAGTCAGATGGTGCTTTTTGGTGATCATATGATTCAGATT